TTTAAATTATTGGTATTTTTTTAATCATGAAGCTAAAATTTGATAATATTAATAAATTAAAATAAAAAAAATAAAAAAAATTATATATATATATATATATATATATATATCACTTTAATTATTTTAATTAAAAATAATTTCATTAAAAAACTAATATTTGAAAATAAAAATGCAAAAGTATATAGTTTTTCTTTTATTTAATTATATTTTTTATTTTTTACTTTTTAGGTTTTAGTCCATAACAACAATTTAATTGTTCTAATTCAACAAAAATATATAATTTCTCTTATTAACAAATAAATTATATTTATATACAAATAAATATATATCCGTGTAAATATATAAATATAAAATATATAAATACAAATATATTTATATATTTTGATATATTTATATATTTATATGTTCGATGTGAGGATCACGCTAGAGGGTGAAAGTGTGTGTCGAGTGAGTTTTCAAAATTTGATGTCAAATTTGTGAGCGAGTCTCTTTATATGAATTTGTAATTTAATGATAGAATATAATCTTTATAATTTATTTATATAATGATATAAAATAATTGTTTTCTTTATTTATTTTTATTTTATTTTAATTTATTCTTTTTATCTTTTTTCTTCTTCTATTATTTAATTAAAATTCTTATATTAAAATAATTTTTCATTATTAAAAATAATTAAATATTTATTTTTAAAATTATTTTTTAAAATTATTTAATTTAACAAATTATTATAAATTAATCTAATTATGATTATTAATAGAACAATTTTTTCCTAACATATATTATTATAAATTAATCAAAATCATCTTTTAATTTATAATAATTTGTTAAATTAAATAATTTTAAAAATAAATATATAATTATTTTTAATATTGAAAAAATTATTTTAATATAAGAATTTTAATTAAATAATAGAAGAAAAAAATATAAGAAGAATAAATTAAAATAAAATAAAAATAAATAAAGAAAAAAATTATTTTATATCATTATATAAATAAATTATAAAGATTATATTGTGTCATTAAATTATAAACTCATATAAAGAGACATGCTCACAAATTTGACATCAAATTTTAAAAATCTACTCGACACACTTTCACCTTCGAGCGTGCTCTCACATCCAACACATATATATATATATATATATATATATATATATATATATATATTTGTATTTATATATTTTATATTTATATATTTTCACGGATATAATTTATTTGTATATAAATATAATTTATTTGTAAACTATTATCAAAAATTCCTAGTAGCTAAGTGGTTGGAGTATCGAGTCTCTAACTTTAAGGTACTAGGTTCGAATCCTACCGAGTAATCATTCTTTCAATCTAATAATAATTCAAATTTCTAAAAAATATATTATAAAAGAATATAAAAGGGAGATTAGAGAGTTATAAAAAAATATTTTTAATTTTTTAATGTTTTTGTTAATTTTTTAATGTTTTTGTTAGTGACCGATATAGTGACTGACTCAATCGATCACCGAATCGGTCACTAATTCGATTACTCGATTCGGTCACCGAAATCGATGACCAAGGAAATAGTGATCGATTTGGGTTGGTTACTATTTCGGTCACTATTTTAGTTAGTGACCGATTTTGATCATTTAGTGACCGAAAATTCGGTCACTATTTGATGTTTTTGTTGTAGTGTAGTAGGAGAAACAATTCCTACTACCTTCTCTACTAAGGCGACATTTGGTCAACCTACACAGGTACTTGGGTCAGTCGCAACTGAGGTTGAGTCTGGAAATATGGTTGATCAAAGGCCATGGTTACAAGCAGACAAAGGAGAGTAAGTATGTTTTAATTTAATTATAATTCTTTAATATGAAATTTCTTAATAATATCAATCCCACAATATGTTTCAACACAGGTTTATACCAGCAAATGGTCCTCCTGCTATAATCTCTAGAATCATCAAACAAAAATTTGATGAACCAAGTCCCACTTGGAGAAAGGTTTCACTTGAGCTTCGAGATAGATGGTTTGGAGCGTTCAAGGTAATTTGAATTATAGTTACATTAAACAATGTCATTTCATTCTTATAAATTAAATGTTTGTTGTGTATTTTATTTATGCAGAAAGAGTATATATGGGATGTGGAACAAGAGCAAGCCATAAGATCTGTTTTTGATAAGAAAGGTTCTCGAATTTTAAAAAACTCAATGAACAAAGTTAGGAATGGTAAGGATACGGGAATCTGGATACCGCCACTGTTCGAGCATCTTTGGACTTACATTGGAGTTCTCCAGATTTCCAAAACAAAAGTTTCATTGCCAAGGCTAATCGAAGTCGTTGATAAGGGTGCCTCGACTTCACTGTGGGGGTTCCATATCTACTGCGACTCACTTTGAGAAGATGGTAAGTTTATTATATTTTTATATAAGTAATTTAATACAATATATTACACTTTAGGTAATGAATTTTGTCTCATTTTAATGTGTAGACTACGGAGTTTCAACGGGAACCAACCGTTTAGGAGGTTGTTGAGAGGACAAAGAAATTAAAGACTGGACAATGGGTCAATGACAAAACTTGTTATCTTGCTGTATGTTTAACATCTAAGTTATAGTTTATTATTCAATATATGTTTTCTTCATAATAATTATATTTCACTTCATTTTTAGGAACAATATATGCAGCGCAGAGAAGAAGTCCATCAACATAACTTGCGTGAAGGCTCATCTTCACAAGAGTCTCCTATTGTCTCTATTGATGATAATGAAATATACATTTCAGTTGTTGGAGGTGAAAATAAAAAGGAAATGTGTATGGACTTGGTACATTGAGCAAAAAGTTCACTACTACATCAGGTTCTCAATCTTCTATTACTCAAACTCCAAGTACTTCATCAAATTGAACAAATGTGTGAGACTATTGAAAAGTTAAATGTTGAATTGGTGGCAAAGCATAATAAGGAGAAGACACTTCAAGAAGAGATGCAGGAGTTGAGGAACAACCAACGCCAACAAGATGAGCGAGATGAAGCTTATTTTACAACATATTCAAATGAATAGTCATCCTACTACAAGTTAACATGACACCGACAATATACCAGAGGACTAATTTTCAATTTTATGATATTAAGATTTTGAATCTTGAGTAGTTGTTTAGAAACATTTTATTTACGTTATGACTTTGAATTGTTCTTATTATGATTTGAATAATTTGACTTTAGTTCTTAAGTTTTCATTTGTGTTCTGTTTGGATGAATTAAGCAGGTACACATTTTGTAAAATTGGATATACAAAATTTTAAACGAAAATTTTCAGATTTGGTTAGATTAGCGATCGAATTTTTGGTCGCTACAAATTTATTATAATATACAATTCAATTTTAGCGACTCGATTTAAATTATTATTTAAATAAATCAATTAATGTATTAGCGATCGATTATATCCGTCGCTATTATTTTTAACTTTGTCTCCAATTTAGCGATCGATTTACTATATTAATTTTTGTCGCTATTTTTGCGATCGATTTAGCGACCGATTTTAATTATTATTTACATAATTATATTAATATATTAGCGACCGAATATATCGGTCGCTATTTTTTAAAACTTTACCACCGATTTAGCGACCGATTAATTATATTAATTTCGGTCGCTATTTTGGTCTCCAATGAATAAGTAACCAAATTATTTAGCGACCACTTTAGCGACCACCTTATCAGTCGCTATTTAGCGACCGAAATGTAAATCGGTCGCTAACAAATTAGCGACTTGCCCTTTTGCGACCAACCATTTCGGTCGCTAACAGATTAACGACCGATTTTTGGCCATTAGCGACCGATTTTTTTCGGTCGCTAATAGCGTTTTTTCTTGTAGTGAAGTGGTTTTAATCAATTATTTCGAAAATACATCAGTTAAAACTCTGTCAGGAATGTTTTGAACTGATTTTAATCGATTAATATTAAAGTGTATCAGTTAATTTTAAATTTTAAGAACATATTAATCAATTAAATAGGTTTTTAACAGATTAAAACAACTAGATGCATTCTTTAATTCTTTCAAATGATGAAACCTCATGTAACAAAATAGAATGAATGATTATACCGATTAATATTTATGTAAACTCACTAATCACTACATCCTTTAACCCAGATCATTTGACTTCATCAAATCTTTAAGATCTTCAATCAACATAGAGTTCAATAAGATTTTCATCACTATCACATTATATAGCTACTATCATCTAGTCCATTGTTTATCCAATATGATGTGAAACTTTTCAAAATGTAATATTTTCATCAACTTAAAAGTACATAAGTGTTTCATTGTTATGACTGAATAGTGAAATAATGTCTCGCGTTGATTTAAAAAATGAGGAAGATTCAAAGAGATTAAAGATAAAATTTATCAATAGTAGTTGAAGATAAAGTCATATATGACATGAGAATTTGTTAGAAGTTTATAGTGGTTTTTGACAGTTATGCTTTAATTATGTAATTAGACCAAGCTTAACATGAAATTATATTATAGACTCGTGCCCAAAGATCTACGAAGGGATGAAAATGTCTCTAAAAGAAGTGTATATGTCTCCATGGTCAAAATACCTACATTACTATCTTTATTAAACAAACCAAGTGCATGAAAATTGTCACAATAATCCTAGAAATTCTCCCCCAAGCTGTTTGATCTGAATTACCACGAGATGAATATTTCATTTTATATAATCAATTAATAATAGATGAAAACCAGTTTACCTCTACAATATTAGGAGCAGCATCCTCGGTATCATGAATTTTATGGCATTGCATCTGCGAGCACGAACATGCAACATCATATTTAATCTCAGCAATAATGTTTCTAAGAGGGAAACTAGTTTAGCTACAAAACATTGTAAAAAAAAAAAATGTTGAGCAATTTCACGTTCCTTTACCACATACAATGCAAATAGAGACAAGGAATCCCAATTTGTCTTCATATTGCAAAGCATTAGAAGAGAGCAAAGATTACCAATACAGTCTTCAAGATATGTCTGTTATTGATCTATCCATGCACCAACTATCTGTCCAGAGGTTAATACTCGTATACTCTTCAAGAACCCAACTATGTTCCTTTTTATCTCATGAAGAAGGTTTAAGCTTTTAAAAAGAAATATATAATAAGTATGCAAAGTGTTTATACAAGATAACAGTATCCATGCATCACCACCAAACAGTTTCAGAAATGAAATTATTGTGGAGAAATAGAAAAAGATACTTTTAAGAAAAACAAAACACGAGACATAGCGAGCCAAAACTAACTTTTGAGGAAATGATAGATCATGGTACCAAAACGAAAACGAAAGGAAAGGTGTTAGCAGGCCTCAGATAATTGAACACGTCATTATCAAAGATAAGATTATCAGCCAATGTCGGCAATATCAGTGCATCACTGGCCACACCCACCATCAAATATGTCTAAATAATGCAGAAGATGAAATGTAATTTTCCGAGAGAGAGAGAGAGAGAGAGATAGAGAGAAGAAGAAGAAGAAGGCTTTGGAGTCTGTTGAAAGTCGAGTGTCAAGTAGTCATAACATAGTTATTGAGACACTGATCACATCTGAATTTATAACAAGCAATTTGAAGTCTCAAAATGAGAATATGAGTCTTCTCTTGATGGGCAAGCAAACATTTGTGTGGTTGACGCAGCCTCGTGTAACTTTCAAACCAAACAGATATGGAGAGCTTCGCAGCAGCCATTTCCTTTTCAAGCAAAACCGCGCACGCGTGCCCTGCAAGAAAAAATTAAGATAAAACTCATCTTTTGACAATGTAAAAACTTTTACACTCCTATATATCCATTAATATCAAATTAACATCATTCTTAATTTAATTATTATAAAAATTATAAAATTTACAATATAATAAATTATAATTAACTATTTAACCTGTTTACCAGTGACATATACTTTTATTTTCTCTATTACTCGTATCATAAATTGTTAATCTTTTTATAAATTTATAATAGACGATAAATTATAACTAAATAACGTTTTAAACTTATATAATAATTTCTAATGCCTTTTACGTAATATAAACTATATATTATAATATTCTAACAATTTTTTATTCTTAAAACAAAATGTTGCCCAAATAGAAAGTAAACAGTAAAAACACGATAATTATATATATATATATATATACGTGTGTGTGTGTGTGAAAAAATATGTTTTTTTCTATACTTTTTATAAATTTATCTTTTATATTTATATTTTTAAATTAATGGAATTCGTTCTTCAACTTTTAAATATATATGTATTTTTAATTTTATTTTATATCTAAATTTAACATTTAATTATAATTTTAACATTTTATAATAGAATTGATAAAAGAAATAAATTGTTTTTTAATTATTTTTGTATACTTAAATTTGATATTTAACAATTTTTATTATTATAAAATGAATTGAAAACCTAAAAGCATAACCTTTTAAAAATTAAGACTAATGTATTCATTTTTGTTAGAATTAATGGTTGAGTTCAATAGGGGTGAATTGAACTTTGAAACCTTTTTGCAAAAATGTTTTTTCCTTTGAAAGAATTAGTAATCTTTATTCAATCTTTTATTAGGCAGATTTGGTTTTTAACAAAGCAAGAATATGATTCAGGAATGAAAAGAGAAAAATAGAGAAATACAACCGTTTTTATATTGGTTCACTCTTTTCAATAGCTACATCCAATTCTTGACAAACCTGTCAAATTCCACTAAAATCAAGTGAATATACAGACCAGTAGATACAAACCAATCTACCCCAAGATCTTCCTTACAACAGCACAAGATAGACTCTTGAAAAACCACTCAGCAACCAAACTCAATTGTTGTAACTAGTGCAGATTCAAACACAATCTACACAATCAAAATTCGTACAGAGAATTGGAAAAGATAAACCTGGATAATAGTTTTTGTAATACAGAAGTCCTGAAGCAAATTTCCTAACACAAAACTTCCTCTCTTGAAAATCTTTCAACAATGTTGATCAAAGCGCATTATGATATGAATGTGTATGAATGCTCAGAGAAACACACGAATATGAGAGCTCAAAGATTGCTTTAATTGTTTTTCAAATTTTGTATCTTAAAAAAGAAATCAAAACTGTATTTATAGAGTAAAAGAGAAAACTGACAGTTTTAATCGATTAAAATGATACTTTAATCTATTGATTTCATTTAAAACTATTTTAATCGGTTAATTCGAACTTTTAATGGATTAAAATTGTTAGAAAGAAAAATGGTAGCTCTCTGTTTTAATAGATTGAAACTTGTTTTAACAGATTAAAAAACCTGAGGTACTCAAAACATGAATTATGACTTAGAACATTTTAATCTATTGATTTTTCAATTTAGCAGATTAATACTGCGAAACCCTTAACATGGAAAAACCATCAAGAACATTTTAATATGTTAATTTTACGGCTTAATCAATTAAAATATCAGTTGTACATATACATTTCCTATTTTAAGTGATTTTAACAGATTAAAACTACTTTTTAACATATTAAAAAACTCAATTTGTTCTTTCAAAGCTTAAAGGTTCACTACAAGAAAAACACCAAATAGTGACCAAAAATTCGGTCACTAAATGTGCAAAATCGGTTACTAATTAAAATAGTGATCGAAATAGTGACCAACTGGAATCGGTCACTATTTCCTTGGTCACTGATTTTAGTGACCGATTCGATGACCGATTATATATAACCAAATCGGTCACTTGAATCGGTCACTAAATCAATGAAAAAGTTAATCAATAACAAATTTAATTATTTTAATTTATTTACATTTATATCTATTATTTATTTTCCCTATCTCTTAATTATATTATATTTTGCTTATTTAAGTTTTTATTTATATTTATTTCCCCTATCTCTTAATTATACTATATTTTTTAGAAGTTTAACTTATTATTAGGTGGTTTATTGTCATTGTCAGATTCGAACTCGGTACCTTAGAGTTGGAGGTTGAAACTCCAACCATCGAGCTACTAGGATCTTTTAATAATAACTTACAAATAAATTATATTTATATACAAATAAATGTATATTCGTATAAATATATAAATATAAAATCTATAAATAAAAATATATTTATATATTTTAATATATATTTAAATATTGATATATTTAAATATTGATATATTTAAATATTGATATATTTAAATATTGATATATTTAAATATTGATATATTTATATATTGATATATTTATATCTTTATATTTTTACATATATTTATATTTTTATATATTTATATCTTCATATTTTTACATATATTTATATATTTTCATATTTATATATAAAGATATTAGTTTTCTATACAAATAATATTATAATATAGTATATTATACTATTAGTATAGTATACAAATAATATATTAGTATAGTATAGTATACAAATTATTAATTTTTGTAATTTATATACAATGAAAATAATATAATGGTATATTAGTATAGTATAGTATATTTGTATTCTAATTTTTAATTAAATTAAAATTATGCTAATAATGTATATTAATATATGAGGGGATAATATTGATATATTGATATATTTGTATATATATATATATATATATATATATTTATATATATTTATATATATTTATATATATTTATATATATTTATATATATTTATATATTTATATATTTATATATTTATATATTTATATATTTATATATTTATATATTTATATATTTATATATTTATATATTTATATATTTATATATTTATATATTTATATATTTATATATTTATATATTTATATATTTATATATTAATATATTAATATATTAATATATTAATATATTAATATATTAATATATTAATATTTTTATATATTTATATTTTGATATATTTATATATTTATATATTTATTTATATCCTTATACATTTATATCTTTATATATTTATATATTTGAAAAAAATAATATTATATTTTTAAAAATAAATATTAGAAAAAGATTTAAAAATATATATAAATTATATTTACATTTACAAAATATTAAAGATATATGTTTATATCTTTACATATTTATATATATTTATATGTTTATATTTTTACATATATTTATATCTTTCCATATTTATATATTTATATATAAAGATATTAGTTTTGTATACAAATAATATTATAATATAGTATATTATACTATTAGTATAGTATACAAATAATATGATAGTATAGTATAGTATACAAATTATTAATTTTGTAATTTATATACAATGAAAATAATATAATGGTATATTGGTATAGTATATTTGTATTCTAATTTTTAAATAAACTAAAATTACGCTAAATGTATAATAATATATGAGAGGATAATAAATTTAATCCAATTACTTTTATAAATATATAAATATAAAATCTATAAAATATTAAAAATGATATTATATTTTTAAAAACAAATATTAGAAAAAGGTTTAAAAACTAGTATTATCTTAAATTTATTAAAAGTATAATTAAATCTCTATTTTCTTAAAAAAATTTTAAACTTCTCAATTCTACATTTTTGTAAATTCTATCATTATATTATCATACTCATTATATCAAAATGTTAAATACTTTTAAATATTAAAATTAACTTTATCAAAAATTAGGAAAAAAAATTAATCCAAAAGAGTTCAAAAATATATTATAATATTGTTAATTTTGAGTTTAATTATATTGTTCATTCTCAAAGTAGAAAAATATATTGTAATTATTTTAATTTAATAAAATATAATTTAAAATTTTAATACTAAAATTAAAAGATTAAATAATAATAAATTTAATTCTTTAAATTCAGTAGTTAGAAACTAAAATTATAGTTTCTCTGTTTTAAATAATTAAAATAAATATTTAAAAATAAAAATCAAAACTAGTATTATCTTAAATTTATTAAAAGTGTAATTAAATATCTATTTTCTTAATTTTATTTGTTTCAAACTTCTCAATTCTACATTTTTGTAAGTTCTATCATTATATTATCATTCTCATCTCCTCCCATGTTCTACTTTATCTTTACAATAGTCAATATTCTTAACTAATTTATAGTTTTAATTATAATTTTTTAGTATATATTTCAGAAATTAATCAATTCTAATCTATTATTTGAAAAACTAATCAATTCTAATCAATAATTTAGAAAACTAATCGATTATAATTAATTATTTGAAAAAATTATCAAACATGATCGATCATTTCAAAAATCTAATCGATCAGAATCAAATATCGCTCGAGCGAGACTAGAGTCGCTCAAGCGAAATACAACTCGAGAATACCAATTTTGTGCAGAGGCGTTTCGCTCGAGCGAGAAGGTTGTCGCTCAAGCGAGATACAGTTTAGATAGCGGTTACACGAGAACCGCTCTTAAAATCTCACTTAGATAGCGGTTAACCTGGAACCGCTATTATATGGTTTCAATTATGATCGATCAGAATGCAATTATGACCGATCATAATGAAAACTTACATTAACTATTTTTTTATATTATGTTTTTAAATTTTCTATTAGAGAAAACCTTTCGAATTCAAAATGTTAAATACTTTTAAATATTAAAATTAACTTTATCAAAAATTAGGAAAAAAATTAATCCAAAAGAGTTCAAAAATGTATTATAATATTGTCAATTTTGAGTTTAATTATATTGTTCATTCTCAAAGTAGAAAAATATATTGTAATTATTTTAATTTAATAAAATATAATTTAAAATTTTAATACTAAAATTAAAAGATTAAATAATAATAAATTTAATTCTTTAAATTC